TGCGAGCGAGAGACACGAGGAGGTGACGCGAGGACAGAGGAGTCCTCAGGTATTAATTGGGATGTCCTCGTTCACTCAAACGTCACTTTTAAACCACGTCTGTTAATGATGACATGTGCACAGCTGTATCCCCTCTCATCGGGCTTAACTGAATAACCTTTAGAACCGGCCCATTTGTTGTTAAATATTTATTTAAATGAATGAATCTTTCTCTTGTTAGTCAAGGAATTCAATGTATGATGGTTGGTCCTGCTTTTGTGTTCCTTTTTGGTGTAAAATGTAGCCTTCATTTAAATAAAACTATAATTATAGTAATGTGAAGCCTTTTAGAAATGAGCTGTGAGCACTTATACATTTATGTAACGCTTTTCCACTCATCTTCCAGTTGTTGGTTTTCCTCTGTTGAAATGGACCAGCTGTGAAGGTGGGGGCGGGGCTTTTATACGCGAGTAGTGAAAACACTTCCGCGTAGTCTGCTCGCGTGTATCCTCCCTTTCGTCTCCTCCCGCACCCCTCCTCCCTCACCCCTCCTCGACTCCTCCGTGTGCATTTCAGCTATTGGGACGTCCTTCAAAATGGCGTGTCTTGATCGATTTCCGGGTCAAGTCCCGAAGGAGGGGAAGAGAGGAGTCGAGGAGGGGAATTGGGATGAGGCTATAGAGCAAACCGGCATCGACACCTGCATGCTTTCTAATGGCCAGCAGGGAGCAACTCAACAAAGAAGTGCGATTTTATAGAAGTCTACGAGAAAATAACCCTAGTTCTAAATTGATTTATTAACTCAGTGAACAATTTTCTGACAAGTTTATTGTCTCAACGACTACTTGAGAATCTTCTTTCATACAACATGGTGTTTATTCTGTACATGATGCATCCATATAGAGCAACATTTAAGATGAATCTGGGTAAATGGGAGATACAGAGGACAGCGCTCGATAGTAGCACTGTGAAACAAACAAGAAACAAGAGACACATGAAATTGTATTGATATCCATTAATTGAATCTATTTTTTGTCCCTCAAAAAGGGCCGGGGTCATGACTAGTGGGATATACTGTATGTGTCGGTCTCTGCTGGAGTTAAAAATGGAAACAATTCTCACACACAATTATGAGTATGTCTCTTTATTGTGTATTTCAATGTTTGACATGTTGTTGCAGCTCCTCCACCGTACCGAGCGTACACCACCCTCAGAGTTCCTTCACAACTCGGCGCTCAACTCACCGAGAAACGAGGATCAGCCGACAGTCTGGTGGAGGCGGTGAGGAAACGATGATATTAAGATAGTATTAGCTGCAGGCACATTTAGCAGCAACAATAAGAGTGAAACACAGGATAGGATTGGTAACAGTAGATGAGTGTACATCAGTGGCGGTGCTAGGGGGTGGCTACTCGGGCTCAAGCCCCGGATGTTTTGTGAAAAGCTCCGAATGTTTCACTTAAAGCAAGTTTTTTTTTTTTTTTAACGTCTCGTGAGTAATGTGCAGTACCGGAGTCCAACAGAGTGGCAGCAGCTGCGGGACAGTAGCCTGCATACTACGTAGCCTTCCCTGCCCTGAAGAAGAAGTGATCCTTCGTTAGCGCCCCCCCCACTGCTCAACAACTTCAAAATTCAGGCTAATCCCCGGATCTTCTACAATCCTAAATCCGCCACTGGTGTACATCAGTGTTGGAAAAAGTACTTACAACCTTTACTTAAGTAAAAGTACAAATCCTATGTTAAAAAACTCCGTTACAATTAAAAGTCTTAATTTCAAAATGTTACTTCAGTAAAAGTACAAAAGTATCAGCATCACAAAATACTCAAAGTACAAAAAGTACTCATTCTGCACTCATTAAGTATAATACTCGAGTGTGTGCACTTCCAACCACTGGTGTACATAAATACAGATATAAGTGAAGACAATTACGAGTAAATATAGATACATGTCTTAGAGCAAGTACGGGTCCAAAGTAGGTCCAAATTGTACATATTGATCAGTAAACTCAAACGTTCTTACTGATTCTTTGCTCTGCTCTCTGCAGGTTCTGATCTCCGAGGGTCTCGGTCTCTACGCTCGGGATCCGAAGTTTGTCGCGTTTGCAAAGCGGGAGATCGCCGACGCGTGTCACATGACGGTTGACGAAATGGAGTCGGCCGCCAGCGATCTGCTCGGCTCAGGGAACCCGTCTCTCCTCGCTAACGCCGCCGCGGACCCAGCCATGCTCTACAGCGACGAGGAGCCAATCAGGACGGGCCGCGAGGAGGACGAGCTAGCTGACGAGATGACCTGCGTGACATCGTTTTGACGGGCTGACGCTCTGGACCAATCAGAAAAAAGACTGCGAAACGCATCAGAGATTGGCAGGACATTTGACCAATCAGGTCAAAGAAGAGAGAAGAGGGCGGAGTTTAATGGACATTTAATGCTGAGATTTGTGAGAAAAACGATGGAAGATGGCCGCCAGCAGAGAGTGACTCAGCGCTGTTGTGCCGCCATAAAGACGCATCTCGTTAGCTTGGTAACGCTATGAACGTCGCTTGGCTGCACAGAATCACACTTTACCCACAATGCATTGTTTGACAAGTTGTGTTGTCGTGTTATTATTTATAATTCCCGAAAAGTAATCACCGTTACTGTCAGCCAGCTAAAGAAGGATTAGCATTGTGCCGCAACTGATTAGCTTGAAACTGCCTCCTCTGCCTCAAAGAACAGCACTATAATAAACGCTATATATATTAAGTCACTCACTCAGCAGTGTTGGGTTGTGTTGTGGCATTTTGCAGACACACTGTGATGATTTGATTAGTGTTAACAAAAGCAGTGGACTGGCAGGAGATCAGCTATGCTCCCAGGGCCCTATATTTGCTATTCAAACTAGCACTGTAAGGGAATGGCTATTTTTAAGGCTTTAATTGCAAAAGAATGAAGTGAGTTGGACGAATCAAATGGAGTTTAAATTTGGTACAAATCAGCCACTGAGGAGATGTCATTGTCTAAAGTCATGGTACAAAAGGTCTTGACACAAATTGGGGTTGCATTGAGGAGCATTTAATCATTAGACTATGAGCCCTACATGATGAACTGTTTACATGGCTAACACATTTTCCATGTTTACATGCAACCTGGCTTACTCCAATTCAAATGCCCCATGTGTAGCCCCTTTAAGTAGATTTTATTTACCTCTTTTTTCAACTGCAGCCATGTTTCTCCCATGGTATACCCTTGTTACCATTTTGCAAAACTGTGTGCTGGCAGTATATTACATTACATTACATGTCACTTGTTAACACGATTTTATCCAAAGCGATTTACATACTCAGTACTGTGGACAATCCCCACAGGAGCAATTTGGGGTGAAGTGTCTCAGGGACACAACGACATGCTGACTGCAGTGGGGTTTGAACCTGTGACCCCCTGATCCGAACACCAACGCTCAATCCACTGCACCACACGCCTCCCCAACAGTGTATCTGTTATTGCTGTAAAAACCCCAATCGAAATACATATTCTGAATGCGCTGTATACATGTCCAAAGAAAAACTCCTAAAACCAGAGTAGTATTGGCCTATCTGAAGTCTAATCCTGAAATTTTGTGAATAATAGTGAGATATTATAATAGTGAAATATGAGTGACAAGAGACTTTCTAATTTAAAATAAGGATGAAAGTCAACAGTTAACAGTGAATGAATGCACAGGTGTTCAGCGTGATTCTGTCAGCTGAGCTTCTATCGTTCAGATGTGAGTTTTTATATCAGGATCTCTGATGTATTTAAATGCTGTAAAACGTGTTGAACTGCCTGCTCTGTGACTCGTAGAGCGGTGTGTGGAGGAATATATTTCTCATATTTTATTAATGTGTATTTTTATTCTCATAAATGGAGGCGTTTAGACGATGAACTGTGAAATACTTTTTTGTCTCTTTGTTGTTTTTTTATCGCAGAGGAGATTGTTTGTTCAGTGTGTTCAGATTTTCTTTTTTAAATGTTTGATACTTTTTATTTTAACAGAGAGAACTGGATGTTTGATTTGTTTGTTTTAATTCTGGATGGCAGACAGTCCGGTGTTGTTTATGTCTTGTCTGGATCTTGGTGTTTCCGTCATCTTTTAGCTTTTCTTTCCAACAGTTCGGAGAGTTTCCAGTTTAGGGTTTTTTAATACCACGCCTGGATTACCCCAAAATACATCTGCAGATGCCGCGTTCAGCCTGAGAAACAGCTCTGTCTGAACCCTCATTTACCTCAAATAAAGACTGAAAAAAGTTGAGATTTGTCTCCTCAATGTTTTTTCAAACCATGTATGTTTATTTGTTGTTAAGTCTGTGAAACAGCTGACAATTGGACACCTTTGTACTGCAAGTATATTAAGAGTTAGTTTGAATTAGTATTAGAAGGTTTGGGTTATTTAAGTCTAACACAAAAGATAAAGAACATATATAAAAATTAACAACAGAGGTTATATTTATTTTCTAAAATAATTTGGGTTTGTGTAAAAGTTTTCTATTAAGTTCATAAATGACATACATATTTTATTTGATATTTTACATTTCCAAATACAAGATGAAGAACATAGGAAAAAGACACTTTACATTTATTAAATTATTTATTATATGTAAAAATCATTATTATAATTATTGTGCTATGATACAAATAATTAATAAAAAAGGTAAATGAATCAAAAAACATTATAATAATTAAATAAATGTATATTACTTATACCATCCCTAAAATGTTCTTTCCTACTTATCAAAGTGACATTTTTTTTGCCTTTAATTTATTTTTGTCCTGAAGTTTAATGACGTAAACATATTGTTTGTTATTTTCACAGATTTCACAGCGTGCCCATTAACGTCTCAGCGTGACCTGAATAGAGTTCACATCTCGCGGGACTTACACCACCCTTGCGAATGCTGTTGACCTCATCTATGTGGAGTTCTCGCGATATTTGCCTACTGACGGCGGTTGGAAATGGAGTCCGAGGGGGCGGGGTGCAGCAGGAGATGTTTGGAGGCTTTTTTTT